TATCCCTCTATTTTTTTATTTTATTTTTTTTCTCGATTCAAGTTCCAAATTACCAATAAACTTAGGGCCCGTTTGGTAGGGATTTTGAGAATTGATTTTTTGATCGTTAGAAAAAAAATGGGGTCCACACGTGAGAGAAGAAGTCAAAAATTACGGCTTGAATAGTAAAATAACGGTCAAAAAATCAATTTTTTGGGGCAAAAAAATCCTACCAAATGGGGCCTTAATGCAATTTTGATATAATCAAGTAAGTGTCAGAAGATAGGGATCTCAAGTCTCTATATTTAAATCAACGTTGGATCGTATCGTACAATTATAAAAGATTCTTCATTTTTATCATTATTATTAATTTCATTCTTTTTTCATTAATATTAATTTTTTTATGAATAATAAATAATAAAGCCAGCAGGACTGAGTTGGCCATCACTGCCACCTGTTCTCTATGCATTTATAATTATAAGTAATACTAATTAATGCTTTTAATTAAATAAGTAATTATCTTTTCAACAAACATGAAGCAACTTATTCTTACAAGAATGCCTTAGCTTTTTTAGTTTTTATGGTACTACGAGCCAATAAAGACTATTGCACAAAACTATGAATACTAATCTTGATGAATGTAAGCAACTAGTTAATGTACATTAAAGATTAACTTGCCTCTGGATTTGACTTTAGTGATAATTGAACATTACAATGATTATTAGCTTTAAATAATTGTTGAAGAGGTCCAAGCAATAGCATTATTTACTTAGGTATTGAATTTAACAATTTAAAAGGCTTTCGAGATGAGAAAGTGGTTAATGTATAATTTTGATCCAATCAAGTTTGGTCTTCTTGTATTTGTTACGCCTCATCTCCTATGTGGCAGGAGAATCTCGTCCCGCATTCCAACGTCACTCTATCTAAAAGGCAATTTGAGTAAACCCCCGTGACGAGGCTGGACCTATGTGGGATGTTGAACCTGTTTGATTGAATTGACCCCATATGAAGAACCGAACCCTCATGCAGGAGAGGCTACAAGTGGGGCCTGACAGGAATTCTTCTATGCAGCCCTTGGTATGTGATTGATATGAAATTCACTGTTATTGTGCCTATTCAGCCAATTAGATCAAGTCTAAGTCCTGTGTCAGATTTATGGACAACAAATGGTATTCACATTCAAAACTTATGATTACTGATACCTTTCATAAGAGGTCTTAGCAACACGGATGAGGCCACATACACTTTCATTCTATGGTCGACATTAATCCTATCTTACTGTAAAAGCTCACGTTTAATTCATTCAATCCTTTGGTAGACTTAATTTCTAAGGACTCTTTCTCAACCCTTAATTCATTCAATCCTTTGGTAGACTCAAGTTTAATTAGAAGGCAATCTTTTTCTAATTCAAGCTTATTTAATTTTTTAAAACCTGATCTATTAATCTTATGTAACTTGAGTCTCTCCTTATACTACTGGTAAGCCTCATGATCCATATCATTCTCAGATCTTACATCAGAATGTGATCGATTCATCTAGACAATATTTAGGTCAAGGAGTGCAATTAAGCTTTGATACCACTTGAGAGTTCTAATTATGGGAATATTTATTTAGAACAAGCATGCAGAAATAATCAATTAAAAGCAATAAGTCACTTTTTTATTATTTCTAGATAATTAGATTAAACCAATCAATTTATCCTATGTTTGAATACCTCCATTTGTAAATTACATAAATTAATTAACACCAATATGTTTACAAAGAAAACCCTTCTTAAAGAATAAAAAACTTCGAGCACTTTGTCAGTCAGCAATCTACGATAAGCGATGAGACTTCTAGTACAATCTAGATTCGACTAAGACTTAGTCCCATCTAACCTTCTTCCAATAATACCTTGTCTCTCTTGGACTGCTTGCTCCTCACATTAGCTCCCGATCCCTGGTATCGTTTATTTCCCGTGGACCTCCAAGAACGAACTTCGTTCTTTAACACAGGAACTCCAAGCGTCCCTTCCTAAAACTTCAATGACTCTGAAGGCTAATTGACGAACGTAGGTATTGGTGTTTGATCAATGTTCCAGTGTGTTTTGATCTGTGATTTAATGTGAAGGTTTATAGCTCGATCAACAAATCTAAGTTTGGATGCATCTATAAATCAAATAATATGGTGGTTGAATCTTGAAATCAACGAAATTAATTTGAATCTTCAAAGGAATGATCTCTATGAATAATTATGATTCAACATATTTTTTGGATGATCATAGTGTGGGATATAGGGGGGGGGGGGGGGGGGGGATAGAAAGTGGTTCAAATTCAAGTGTTTGAAGCAAAACAAGATGGTTGGACGTTGACTGCCGCTGGAGTGCCTAGCAAGCAGCATCTAAGTAGTCATCAGTTTTTTTTATTATTATTATAACTTTCTTTTTCCATATTGGATTGAAATGATTCAAAGCTCGTTGAAAAGATAATCCGAAGGACCACACTTTTTCTAGTAGTAGCATTCTCCAAATTTGAAAGTTTTTTACGTGAAAAATGCATTGTAACTTGTTGCTAAGAACTTGGAGTGTGATTTGTACAGTTTTATACTTTTTTGACTTCTAGTTGCATTCTAATGATCATATATGATCTTCTTGGATATTGTGGACTTCTTCAAGACCTATACTACCAATCCCAACTCTCTTGACTTTAATTACAACTCAATTTCATCTCAACTAACCTGGTTTTTGATATGAAGAAAGCCAACTCCAATTAGGATTCAAGCAACTAGTATGTATAAAAAGCTACACCTCTCTATAATTCTGTTTCACATGTGTTTATTGTGTTGTGAGATATTATACCGATAATGCGCATATTATGTTCAATTGTTGAAATCGAAATATAATTCAACTTGCCAAAACAGTTGAAAAAATAATTTACTGAATCTGAATCCAAACACATAAATATGGATACATCCATTTCCATTCTTGAGTTAAGCATGTCATTCTTCGAATCGAACCTTGTACAAAACATACAAGTAAGGTTAATCATATTCTAAAATCAAATACTAAGAACGAAATCAGAAAATGAAATAAGGAAATGCAAGTGATGGGATTTTGGCCGAAGCAAGTGTTAGACACTTTGTCCTTAAAATGAATTTGCCCCGTATTGGTGCTAATAGTTTTTCTGCAATCATCTCTCAAAATACAATAATCACATCTAACCATAGGAGCACTCAAAATGGTTTAGATCAACGAACTCGAACGGAGTTCCCCCCTCTACCATAGCCATAATTTTGATGCAAGTATTTTATGCAAACTAAAGTGTAAGTATGGAATGGAATGATATATAATTATTAATTGAATTATAAAATCCAAACATATGGGGTCAATATTTAGTAGTTGGAAAGGTTTGTCAAAAGATACAACCATATCAAGAGACACATCTCTTGGAATTTATATATATATATTAAGAGACACATTTATTAGAAATTAATTATACCCATATCAAAAGTCATGATCTTTCATATGAAAAGACACATATTTTCATCTATATATTTCTAGAATATTTCACAATATTCTATACGATTTTTCAACAATTTCAAATATTTAAGCGCCTTAAATTTGACTTAATTTCTCATTCACAAAATAATTGGTCCTAACCAAATTTCGATCCAAAATTCCAACATATTGATTATATTTTGTGACCATGAATAGCAATCCTCCTAGATTCCTCTGACCTCTTATATCAGTCCTAGAGTTGATGATTTGGTATGCATTCAATGATGAATCCCTCTATATCATCAAAAAATGCAGCCCCTCAGTACCCTTATTGTGGACTCACTATTCTTTATGCAAGAGCTGTTCCTTTTCGTGGAAGTACGTCTGGGGTCTGGCAATCGACCAAGAGGAGAGCTTCTTTGCCAAGTTGAAGATTTGTGTGCAGCCTCTGGACTAGCCCTGAGGGTGCGAGAACAGGTTGGACCAGAGCCATTACCCAGACTGAAAGTGTTGTGGCTTCCAAAGATTATTTGCCAAGACTCCCAGCCCTTCTTGTGAAAGTGGAAGTTGACACTTGCAAAATTTAAGCATTGAAGTTATATTGAGACCATGTTTGATAAAATCTAATTCAAATCTAAGTTCAAGTCAATAATTAATTTTAACCACATATTTCATCGATATCCACAACTTTTCAATCATACATTATATCAACTTTTATTCAAATTTATTAAAAATCTAATTTTAATTCTTACCAAACAGGATTTTAGCCACCATATATTTTTATCTGTATAAGATGGTTAGCCGCAGAGTAATCTAAGAACAATAAAAGCAATCAGAGTGTGTTTGATTTTAAGCATGGAATTTACACGGAACATGGAAATTATTAATTACATGTGTTTAATTGATTTAACTTTTAACGTAGAAAATGTTGTACTTGTCTATCTTTTATTGTTAGGTAAATGAGATAAATGAGGGTAAATGAGATAGAGAGTGAATTGCTTGAAAAATAAAAACCCATCATTCCCACACGATTTCCCCCCCCCCC